TATATATATATATATATATATAATTTTTTTATTTAACATTAAGATTTTAGGATAAAAACATATGAATACATTCTTGTAACCACTTTAGAATAACATTCTGTCTAAATTTAATTGTGCTGTAGTGTAAAAAATGATTTTTCAAAAGATACAAATATTTAATGTTGTCTCTGAAATAAAGAGCTCATTATATATATATGCACAATTTTTGTTAGTAATATTTGTTCACGTCAGTGTAAAAGTATTTTATGTATCATTGATGAATGTCACAATTCACATAGTATTCATGGCATAGGCCTATTAAATAACAATATATAATAATTTTATAATTAAACTGGGAAAGGTTCCTGCTCATCATCAGGTTCTGTCAAGGATCAGTCATATTTTACTGTCATTACATAAGGCTTCTGTCCTGAGAATAACTGGCACGTGACTGTCTGTGGTAATGAGAAAAAATGGCAGATTCTTTAGTGAGTGTCTGACAGTTAATTACTGCCCCCTAGAGGACAAACACAGACACACACGAAGATGATTTACTGTTGTTTATATATACAAACAGTTAAAACAGCTTATATCATAATAATGAGGGGGGGGGGAATAAATTAATGAATTACAAATAAATAATAAAATAAAATTAATTAAAAAACGTATGTATTTTTTAAATTAGCATCTGTTTCAAGTGTTAAAGTCAGTAGAAGAGAAAAGAATAAAGGACACAAACATGTATAATGTCATGGGTATTACACTGGTTTAACAACATAAATGTGGTTTATGAGGACATTTCCTGAGTCCTTATCATTAAAATAGCTTTAAAACATAATAAACAACGTTTTATTAAAAATGTAAAAATGCAGAAAGTTTTGTGTGAGGGTTAGGTTTAATGTAGCGGGATAGAAAATACAGTTTGTACAGTACAGAAACCATTTCGCCTGTGGAGAGTCCCCATAAAACGTGTGTGTGTGGGTGCATGTGTGTTTGTGTGTACCTCGTATTCCCCACATTATGGGGACCAAATGTCCCCACAAGGATAGTAATACCGGTAAATTATTATTTACTGTAATTTTTTAAAGTAATTTATTTATTTATTTATTTTTGGTCCCCATGAGGAAATCAGTTAATAACCATACAGAATCAAGTTTTATTATTTTTTTTTTTTGAAAATCAAAAAATGCAGAAAGTTTAGGCGTATAGGTTTAGGGGACAGAAAATACAGTTTGTACCGTATAAAAACCATGACGTCTATGGAATGTCCCCATAATATGAATACCAGTTTGTGTCCATTCCGTTGGTACATGCAGTATTATTTACTGTTTTTACACTGGCATGAACAGAACATGTGTATGTAATGCAATGTAGCCTGTGTGAGCTCATCTTCACAGAGTACAATTAAAAACTCAAATCTATGTGTGAAATATTTAATAATCATTATGCTTTATATTTAGTGTGACAAGAAGAACAGAACTAAACAGAACAGTAATTAGATTTAACACCATCCCTAATTTTATATATAATAATCCAGGTATAATAAATGTGTAGCTATAATAATCAATGCAATACTGTAAATAATGATAGCTATTGTAATATAACCAATAAAATCAATACAGAGTGCAGATAATAATAATAAATTGAGCTGTACGTGCTGAATGACACAAGGCAGTGTAAGTGTGAGTGTGAAGCAGCAGCGTTGCTGCAGATCGAGCGGCTCCAGCGCGGGACACGTCTATCAGAGGAAGCAGAAGCCGCGTGTCATCATCATTTGAATACAGAGGCCTTGATTTACAGTGGCGCTCATTTGTCGCTTTTATTGCGGCTCTTTGATGTGCGGCGCGCGAGACCCTTTGAAATGCACGAGCGCTTTCTGATGTAAAGAGTCACGAGAGCCGCTCTGGCTCCTGAAAAAAACCAACACCACACCATCATCATCATCATCATCATCATCATCGCGGCCTTCATCACCTCAAACATCATCATGAACTTCAGATATCATCATTGCTTCAAACTAGCTCTAATACGCTCACAGCATCATCATCATATCTTCATCATTTTTAACATTCCTTGACATAGTAGAGAGTAGAGGAAAACGCCCCCCCCTCCTAAAGGACTGTGCATTTTTTCTGTGAAACAAAAGTTAAATGTGTTCAGAAAAGTTATCATATTTTTAGTGACAATTACATAAATTATAAGCCAAGTATGTAAAGATCTTCATCACCTAGCATCTTCACCGTGGTCTTCGTCATACGAAAGGTCAAATTGTGACCTTTTATGCAAAGTTTTGTTGTAACTTGCGTTCTTTATTATAATGTCGCGTCGCCAAAGATGAAGATGGTTGGTCGCGTCGGCCCGTTTCAGCCGCACCTGTGCGCGTGTCATAAATCAGCTCAGGTGGGTGTCCCGGGCGTGACGTCAGCGCTGGGCAAACAAACGCGCGCCCGCGAGCGCTCAGGTAAGGTGAAGTTCAGTTAAAGTAAAACCTTCAGCTCGCGAGGAAAATGTCCGTAAGCTTCCTGCTGGACGCGGCCATGTACGGCAACCCTGCGAGACACCTGAACCTCGGTCAGCCGCACCTGAACGTGTACCCGCCCGCGCCGTACGCGGACTACAGCGGGTACCCCGCGGCTCCGGCGCTCGAGGGTGACCTGCACCTCACCGGCGGCGCCTGGAGTCCCGGCTTCGGCCCCGGCTCGCGCGACGACTGGCCGCCGCTCTACGGCCACGGGACGGGTCACCCGCTCCCGGTGAACGGCGCGGAGGTCAGCGGCATTCCGCCGGTGGAGCAGGGGCTGCTGAGCGGCGCGGTGGAGAGAGAGGAGCCGCCGGACTGGATGAGACGCGCCGCGCCTCCCGCAAACCCGGGTGAGACATCAGCACCTCTCCTGGGCCTCTGTTAACTCACAGCACACTCGTTCACTTACTCCACACGATCAAAAGTACTATGGTAATGCCATGTTATTTGGACATGCATCATGGTAATACCATTGAGAGGTTTTTAGACATGTAACTTAATGCTTTTATGAAATATAGCCTATAGTAGTACACTGTACTACTATGGTATATTTCATAAAAGCATCAAGTACAGTGTTTTAAGACAATACTATTGGTAATACCACGTTTAAAGACAATACCATGCTTTTAGACATAAATCATAACCAAGTAATTTGGTACTTTTATGAAATATACTAGAGCAGTACCGGATTTTTTTTGGCCACTATTTTGGTAATTCCATGTTTCTTAGACAATACCATTTGTAAAACCATGGTTTTTTAGACATACATCATGTTAATACCATGTAATTTGATGCTTTTATGAAATATACTACAGACGTACAGTTTTTTGGACAGTTGGTAATACCATGTTTTTTTTTTGACATGCATCATGGTAATACCATGTAATTTGATGCTTTTATAAAATATACCATAGTAGTACAGTGTTTTAAGACAAAACCATTGGTAATACCATGTTTTTTAGACACAAATCATGGTAATACCATGTAAGTTGATACTTTTAGGATATATTAGAGTAGTACAGTTTTTGGACATTTTTTTGGTAATACCATGTTTTTTAGACATACATCATGTAAATACCATGTAAATTGATGCTTTTATAAAATACGTACTACAGAAGTACAGTTTTCTGGACAATATCATTGGTAATACCATGTTTCTTTTGACATGTAATTAGATGCTTTTATTAAATATGCCACAGTAGTACAGCTTTTGGACAATACCGTTGGTAATACCATGTTTTTTAGACATACCATGTAATTTGATGCTTTTATGAAATATTCTATAGTAGTGCAGTTTTTTGGACGATATCATTGGCAATACTATGTTTCTTAGACAATACCATTGATGAAACCATGTTTTTTGGACATGCATCATGGTAATAGCATGTTTTTTAGACATATTCATGGAAATATACAATAGCAGTGCACTGTTTTTGTGCACAGTGCTATTGTAAATACCATGTTTTTGGACATGTCATGTTTTTCCAACATGTACCATGTGATTATATGTATTTTTGAAGAATACAATGTTACAATATACAATTGGTAATACCAATTGGCTTTTGAACATGGATTGGATTACCACCTAAAGGCCATGGTTTATCAATATGGAAATCATACAGTACCATGGTATATATCAGTATTGCCCAGTGTAAATCACCTGATAGCATTCATTGAAAGTGAAAGTTTGGCTTGAAAAACATTTAAAAGTGTTGTAACTGTTTCTGTTGCGGAAGTATTCTGTTTTTTGTGAGCTACAGTCACATCTGATCCACACACAGATCAGTTTATGAATCAGTCGTTACAGCAGAGAGATCAAAATACCAGCAGAATTCATCTGTTTGATCTTTGATGATCTACACCACCTGGAGATCTGAAGGAGCATGTAGCACAATACTATTGGTAATACCACGTTTAAAGACAATACCATGCTTTTAGACATAAATCATAACCAAGTAATTTGGTACTTTTATGAAATATACTAGAGCAGTACCGGATTTTTTTTGGCCACTATTTTGGTAATTCCATGTTTCTTAGACAATACCATTTGTAAAACCATGGTTTTTTAGACATACATCATGTTAATACCATGTAATTTGATGCTTTTATGAAATATACTACAGACGTACAGTTTTTTGGACAGTTGGTAATACCATGTTTTTTTTTTGACATGCATCATGGTAATACCATGTAATTTGATGCTTTTATAAAATATACCATAGTAGTACAGTGTTTTAAGACAAAACCATTGGTAATACCATGTTTTTTAGACACAAATCATGGTAATACCATGTAAGTTGATACTTTTAGGATATATTAGAGTAGTACAGTTTTTGGACATTTTTTTGGTAATACCATGTTTTTTAGACATACATCATGTAAATACCATGTAAATTGATGCTTTTATAAAATACGTACTACAGAAGTACAGTTTTCTGGACAATATCATTGGTAATACCATGTTTCTTTTGACATGTAATTAGATGCTTTTATTAAATATGCCACAGTAGTACAGCTTTTGGACAATACCGTTGGTAATACCATGTTTTTTAGACATACCATGTAATTTGATGCTTTTATGAAATATTCTATAGTAGTGCAGTTTTTTGGACGATATCATTGGCAATACTATGTTTCTTAGACAATACCATTGATGAAACCATGTTTTTTGGACATGCATCATGGTAATAGCATGTTTTTTAGACATATTCATGGAAATATACAATAGCAGTGCACTGTTTTTGTGCACAGTGCTATTGTAAATACCATGTTTTTGGACATGTCATGTTTTTCCAACATGTACCATGTGATTATATGTATTTTTGAAGAATACAATGTTACAATATACAATTGGTAATACCAATTGGCTTTTGAACATGGATTGGATTACCACCTAAAGGCCATGGTTTATCAATATGGAAATCATACAGTACCATGGTATATATCAGTATTGCCCAGTGTAAATCACCTGATAGCATTCATTGAAAGTGAAAGTTTGGCTTGAAAAACATTTAAAAGTGTTGTAACTGTTTCTGTTGCGGAAGTATTCTGTTTTTTGTGAGCTACAGTCACATCTGATCCACACACAGATCAGTTTATGAATCAGTCGTTACAGCAGAGAGATCAAAATACCAGCAGAATTCATCTGTTTGATCTTTGATGATCTACACCACCTGGAGATCTGAAGGAGCATGTAGCTCAACAGCCAATAATAGATGTTTGCGGTCTTATCGGAAGTGCATTATGGCTAATAGTTTACAGAGTGATAAACTAATCTCTTCAGGGAATATTTGTGTAAATATGTCACACAGAGTCAGGTCGGTGAAGTTATAAAGCTCAGACAGAAACAGACCTTTGGGAAACATGGAGATTTAGTTTCAAAAGCTTTTTAGTTTCTGGTAAATTTGTCGCTTGATTTTTTTAATGCTCTGGATTTGTTACTGTTGTCGTTGTCATTGAGCAATTTGATTCAATTCATTTCAAACTTAGCAGATTCATATTTTTCAAAAATAACTGGTCATATTTCTTAAACAGTCCAAAAGGAGGTACTGTAGCTCATTAGTTTAGTCTTCAGCTCTCAAAGGACTGTTGTCTAACACAGTTGGTCAAGATGCAAATGCGGTCATCGTGTTTGACTGTTCAAACGTTTTGATATCATCACATGAGCGGCGAATGTGGATCATGTAACTAAAACAAATATAGATGAGAATGTTCAGGAAATACTGCTGAAAATATGAAACGCTGTTCATTTTCCTTTAGAAACACACACGTGTTCCTAGCTCACCTAACTTATCTGAATTACCTACTTATCTCTATAGTAGCCTAACATATCTTTTGTTTTTATATAGAGCTAATTATAATGACAACAGACTAACCCAGATCCAAACCTCATCCTGAAAGAATGCATGAGAAAATACATAATTTATTTACATAATTAGCTTTATTTTATAAACCAGTCATTTTCACTCTTTTAAATGCAATCCACTGCTGCCCCCTACTGGAAAACTGACATACAACCAATGTTTGTGATGAATATGACTTCATCTTGATCCATTAGTGAATAATAATAGAGACATTTACACTTTATTTTGATCCATTAGTTAATAACAGCCACATGTACCACTGGAGACAATTAAAAATGGGCACATTTACGGCAGATCTCTCTCTGCACTGTAATTTGCTTCCAAAACGTACTAGTGAGCTGCATACTGTCTAAACAGTCAGCTGTCTACTTAGTGAGCAACTGAATTAGAACCTCATAAGTGACCGATCTGGAAAAAAAGAAGAAAAAAAGACTTAATGAATTTCAATAGAGTTTGAGGACCCACTTTATATTAAGTGGCCTTAACAACTATGTACTTACATTTAAATTAATAATTTGGTACAATGCACTTATTGTGTACATGCAGGTATTTTTAAAAATATAAGTGCAATGTAAAAACATAAGTACATAGTAGTTAAGGCCACTTAATATAAAGTGGGGCCGAGTTTGATGTTGCTAATAAAATTATGCAATACTCTAAGTATAAAATACATAACATAGATAAAATATTCAATTTTAATTAAAATTAAATACTTATCAATGCATTTATGATTATAAACACACACATACATTTTAAATAGTCTACAACAGGGTTACTATATTTTTACTAAAAATAAAACCATATAATAAAATAATCATATATATATATATATATATATGTGTGTGTGTGTGTGTGTGTGTGTGTGTGTGTGTATACCCCTCCAAAAGTATTGAAACAGTGAGGCCAATTCCTTTATTTTTACTGTAGACTGAAACCATTTGGGTTTGACATCAAAAGATGAATATGAGACAAGTGATCAACATTTCAGCTTTTATTTCCAGGTATTTTCATCTGGTTCTGATAAACACAACTTAGAAGATAGCACCTTTTCTTTTGAACCCACCCATTGCTCATGTGACCAAAAGTATTGGAACATGTGACTGACAGGTGTGTTTTGTTGCCCTGGTCTGTCCTATTATATTGATTATTCTGAAAGACAGCGGAGACCAGGACAACTAGATGAGCCCCAGATACAGATGTTATTCCCCTGTAAAGACCTTGTCTCAGACGACCACCGGGACAA